TCCTTTCCTCCACACAAATAATGTCATGAATTAAACCCCTTTTGTGTTGACGTTTGTTGTGAACGACTTGTTGTCATATTTTGTCATTTGTTTTGCCACTGAATTGAGTGACAATTGAATGCATTTATGAGAAGACATGTCAACAACAAAACCAAAGTTTGTATCAATGATTGCATATTTAATATACATTTTAATTCACGTCTTATTTGTGGCACAAAAGCGTGAAAATCAGTTTCGGATCCATTGTGTGCTGCGAAGAGACCACACTTTTGGGTGACATAACGATCGGCGCGAAGACTGTGATCCATCCGACGGCACACATCGACGCCTCCAAAGGGCCCGTCATTATCGGCGACTCGAACCTGATTGAGGAGAGGGTCCGTATCATCAACCGAGACACCCATCCAATGGTCATCGGTTCCCACAACGTGTTTGAAGTGGGCTCACACTCGGAGTCACCACAGATGGGCGACCACAACATCCTGGAGTCCAAGTGTCGAGTGGGCCCTCAGACACGACTGTCCAACGGGTGTGTCATCGGCGCCATGTGTTGCGTCGATTGCGACGAACTCTTGGCCGAGAATACAGTGATCTTCGGCACAGACTGTCGGCGACGGACACAACACGAGAGGCCACAGCCACAGACCTATCAACTCGACTTCCTCAGCAAAATTCTGCCCAATTATCAACGCATTGAGAAACCAAACTTCAAGCAAACCAGTCCTACCAGTCCTCTCACTACCAGTGCCTCGTCCGCCACACCCCTCTCACCCAACAATTGATTTCTTATATTTAATATTCACTTAATTTATTAATAAAATATTCATTTCTTCTCATTAAGTGTTGTATTCATTGAGTTATTGTACTGTATATACCGGTAAATGTTTTACCTTTATTACGGTACAAGTATTGAACTGCTAAACAGCTTGCACATTCTTTACAACAACCCAATGTACGGTAATCATTTTATGATTCTGTGTACTGGTACATTATTTTCATTAAGTTTTGGCATATTTTATATGCGATCATTTAGTTCAAAGTATGAGTTTACCGGCAATTGAAAATAAAATCATTAAAAGCTTTCAACTTAAACTATACTGTACACTGTTTTGTGTACTGTGCATACAGTGTACAGTATGAAATTCGTAATATGAATAAATAAAATGTAAAATACCTCTAAAAATGTAAGTTTAGATAGCCTGAACTTCATAGTATTATATGAACCAATGATTTAATCGGTATACAAAACTTCAATTAAAGTTTAATTATTATTTATTTAACTCTATGCGAAAAACATACTTTTAAATGAACCTGATAGAGTGGGTACAATATTATTCTATTCAATAGACTTTAATGTAAGGGTGGGTGTGAGTGTAAGTTCCTTATCTAATCAAACTTTTCCAGAATTGCCATAAACAATAGAAAGACATAAAATTGTTTCCAATTATGATTAATTTACTTCATTAAAGATCCTAATTATAATTGAAAAACCTGAGACTTTTACAAAATTTTTACCCACTGATGAACTACAGTATTACAAATTATCGCATATCCTGAATCAGAATTTACGATTACTAATATTATACTGCATAGTGTATACAAATTATTAACATTTACTCCAAATGAATAATTAACACAATCTTATCAGCTCAGGTTTGCATACAATGGATAAGAAATTGTATTTTTATATAAATATAAAAGTATGAAATACATTTGATTACGAGTTCGTAAATATCTTAATATTGCTTAAATGTGGTGCAAATAATAATTATACAAAAATGGACGAACAACTGATTTTGAATGAATTTCCAGAATTCCAAGAATTGTTAATTAAAAATAACTTTTTTGAAGAACAGGATCTATTAGATTTATTGGTATTTTATTCGTTTATTTATATTATTAATTTTATTTAAAAATATACATTGTTCATATTTGAATTATACATTTTTTTAAACTCAGGCTAATTGTGGACCGGATAAAGAAAATCAATTAACAGTAATAATAGCTAACATTGAACTGAGAGATCCAACAGAAATCGAGAGATTCGCTCAGATTATGCAGTCCTCAGGTCTGGCCATTGAAGACACGAACAGACCTTCAGATGAGACGGACAGCAGTTTAACGAATCTAAAGAACCAATGGATGATTAGGTTTAAGGATCTTCTTTCAACCCCCAAAACTTTGGGTGATAACTTTACGGTGAAAAATGCCACTAAAATCAAGAGTAATAAATATGGAGACGTCTACTCAATGACATCCCGGCCCCGAGGGTTCTGTGTTATAATTGATAACCAATTGTTTGCCGGAACTACTCTACCCTTCAGGACAGGCTCCAGAGCCGACGCCTACAGACTGTCGGATGTCTTCTCTCAACTCCATTTCGATATCAAATACTTCGTGAATAAGACGAGTCATGAGATGAAGAATTTATTACAGAATGTGATTGCAATGAGTGAACAACTCGTAGAACACGACGCTCTGGCCGTCGTTATCCTCTCGCATGGCATTAAGGATGAGATCTATGGCACTGACGGCAAGACTATAGCCGTGGACACAATTCTCGAGTTCTTCAATAACCAGAATTGTCCGGCGCTTATAAATAAGCCCAAAATGTTCTTCTTGAGCGCCTGTAGAGGATGTGAGTAACATATACTCGACTATATTGTGGACATGTATTAACTAATT